GCTCTGTACCTCATACAAAACTATTGTATACCGCCAGAGAGGACTGCGACTGTAACACATCGTCATTTGGGCTACTTTTGTTACCGCTTTTAACATTTTTGCAATGAATAAATTATTGTGATTACACTTGATTGTCAGTTATGCTTCTCTTTATAACTGTACATATTTTTAAGAAATGGTTATGGGTAGGTTTAGAGAGATAGGAGTGGTATTAGCAGTTCAAAATATATTTTTAATGCTGCTTTGTTACTGAAATTTTCATTTTCATACGTTTTTTTTTTCTCCATATATTATTTTTATATTCTCTATAAAATGGTTATGTTTTGGGGTAGGGTTACTGGATCTAAAATGAATCTATGAAATGGTATAAGGACAAATATAGAAATATGTATGATAATTAAATAAATATTAGTACATATTTTAAGTTTCTTTAGTACATATTATTGTTTAAATACTGCCAATACATCCATATTGTACATTTCAGAATCTATCCAAATGTGCAAAAATGTATGTTTTGTTCCTGTAAAAGTTGTTTATTAATACCTACATATTATCAATGAGACCAGACTGCCACTCTAACAGAGGAAAACTTACAAGACATTGTTAGCTTACTACACATACACACATATTTTATATTATAGATGTATATGAGATAGATGATTACAGTCTATTCACAAAGTTGATTAATTTTATATTATCCAATAAACAATATATATATATATATATATATATATATATATATATATATATATATATATATATATATATATATACATACATATACTGTATGGTGAATTGGTAAAACAACGCAGAAGACACCGATAAAATATTATAATTATATCCATTATATATATATATATATATATATATATATATATATACATACACACACACACATACTGTATGGCGAATTGGTAAAACAACGCAGAAGACACAGATAGCATCATACACATAAACCTCCACTGGAGAGCAATACGTGAGTAATGATCTCAGACTGAAGACAGTAAGGGTGACTTCCGAAACATCACGGTTGTTTTTGCACAGAAATGCATCTTCCATTATCTCTCAGTCCTTTGTTTTCCTGTCTCTTAGAACTGATTTATTCTGCCATTTTGGGTCAGAGTGGACACTCGTTCGATCATCTGAGCTCTAAAAGTAATCCTCTATCCTCCCTCCATTGGCCACCATTGCATGAAATTGATGGTCATTTTTGAGGCAGTGACTGGCAAGATTTCACAAGCACTTTTAAAGTGAAGTTTGAGGGTGGAGGCGTTTTAAAATACAACTTTTGTCCTACAACTCAATTACCCAAATGGTGTAATGCAAGTAAAGAGCATTCTTTTGGAGGAGTCCCCCCCAGCACTTGACATTAAATATTAATCAGGTCTACACTGAGAAAGGATCTCTTCAACACACTGGTTTTGAGATACAAACATAAGTGAAATGCATTTCATTAAAATGATAATAACCATCATCATCATCATCAGGACAAAACAGATCAGACTGGAATAGCATGTTCTGACTAATCCTGGTTAATCACTGTCACTTCAGCAAAGCAGCTATTGGTAGTTCAGAGGTAAACCCGCCACACAATAATCGATTGCAATTAGACCAAGGTCAGGACCACAGAATGATCAACCAGCGGAACAACCTCGATTCACTAGCCTGGAGTATTTGGGTCTGCGTCCTGATTCAGGAGAACACGGTCCTTGTTTGAATAGCTGCAATGTGGATTAGAGGAAAAGCAACCAAAATTTAGTCCGGAACACACCAAGAGAGTGTGCGTCGGCGAGCATCTGCCAGGCTAGTTTTAGAAGTGTGTTCCACACGAATCGCCATTGGGGCCGTCGGTGAGAGTGGAACGAGAATTTCTAGAATTTCTAGGAACTAGTTGCACGAGAATTAAAGGTCCCGTTCTTCATGCTTTTTTGAAGCTTTAATTGTGTTTATAGTGTGCGATATAACGTGTTCATGTTTCGCGTGTAAAAAACACAGTATTTTTCACACAATTTACTTATCTGTATACGGCTGTTTTCACTGTTCAAAAAAACGGCCCGATGACTTCCTTGCTCTATGAAGTCCTTCCTTCAGAAAAACGTAACGAGTTCTGATTGTGCCAGTGGTTCCTGTGTTGTGATTCGACAGCAGCTTATCGCACGTTGCCCGGAAAGGTCACGCCTCTTACCATAAATAGGAGATGCATGCGCATCTGAAGTGCTTCTTCTCCGGGGCAACGCAACAAGATCACGCCCCCTTTTTGTGTATGGAGAGCCTAAGTCCCGCCCCTCCACTTCCGGCTCATGGGACCTTATTTCGGAAAAAAATATGAATGGTAGTCAATGGCGAGAGACAACTTATCTTTTTATTCCGTCTGAACTGTGCCCTCAATTACACGTATGATGTTTGTCAATTTAAAATATAATTCTGAAAGTCAAAAAAGTCGCAGTTTGTCATAAAACAGAAGAGTAACATTTAGTTGATGTAGAGATGATGAACTACATCTCCCGGGAAGTGAAACAACGAGTGAGATCCACTGCTCGTGTGTGTGCAGTCTGGTACAAAACACTCAGGTATGACGGCGTAACGTTACGATTATAACATGAGACTATGGAAACAATGACAGACATTAGCCTCAGTAAAGTTAGCTTCATTCATTGAGAGAAAATGTGCGCCTTTGGGGTTTGTAGTCTTTGTAATTACGTATTTTCACAGTCTTATACCTCAACGGTTTTACATAAAAATGTGACTTTCTTTACTTTAAAATGTACCTTTTAAATTGACAAACATCATATGTGTAATTCAGGGCACAATTCAAACGAGATCAAAATATTTGCTGTCTCTCGCCATTGACTACCATTCAATATTTTTCTGAAATAAGGTCCCATGGAGGTCGACCGGAAGGGGAGGGACTTAGGCTCTCTATTCCTCTGGGTGGAGATTAGTCAAAAAACTGTTCTAGTTACGTCATTAAAAAAGGAAGTAGAGGGATGTAGTCCAAACAGGCTGTTTGCTGTATGCTTTTAAAGGGGACTTGTGTTAAATAAAATATCTCGCTAGGCATTGAAATTTGAGCTTTATAATTTTACAGGTATTATTTATGCTCTAAAAGCAACATTAGACACTAACTAAAGTTTGAAAAAATGGAATAGCGAAGAACGGGACCTTTAAAGTGAAAGTAATGAAGGAGAGCAAGACGTTAGTTATCCAACCCGAACATTCCAGAAGGTGAATATTTTTGATGACAACATGAGCAGCTTAAAATTAAGAAAATTATCAACATTACTGATATTCAAAATGATAAGCAAGCACTGCTTTGTTTACGTTTCTAATATCTTGTATATCCTTCTTTCGGTTTCTCCTTTTGAATAACGAATATAGTCTACTGATACCTGATATAGACAGTTAATTCCTTACACGCAGGTGCAGAACGCACGCACTAGTTTACTTTGCAGTCAGTTGTGGTCTGTGTTGTTGGTTCCACCACAGATTTTCGGTCCAGATGCAGGCGAGGCGACAACACCATTGGTGTTCGTTTGCATCTAGTTCTTTGAAGATGGCTTGGTGTGTCCCAGGCTATAGATTTTACAGTGTTGTAATATGCTATACTATAATTTAAGAAACAGCATATCTAATCTTATGTATCTCATGTATGATTACACATTTATTATACAGTTGGGTCCATACTAAACCGTATTTAAAACTAATGTTATGAGTAAATTAAAATATAGATACTTAACATGCTGCACTACTACAGAAACAAGAGAGATTAATGCAAGTAGACACTTTAGTCGAATTAAAAATCTTTAAAAATCTGTCAATATCCTACATCCGATATAACAATTTCTTTTCTTTAATTAAAGTAAACACAATTGGGTAAAATATGTGGCATTTCAAATATGTATAATCTTATTCAGCAAGGATGCATTAAACTTATCAAAATTGTTCAAAAGTTTGTAATTTTTACTTTAAATTAATCAAAGAATCCTGAAATAAATGTATCTCAGGTTCCACAAAAAAATTAGGCAACACAACCATTTTCAATATTTAAAATAAGAAATGTTACTTGAACACCATATCAGCAAATGAGAATGATTTCCAAACGATCATGTGACACTGAGACTGGATAAATGAAAATTGAAAACTGAAAAAGAATAGTCTTGGTCATCCTTGGTGCACAAGATACTGACTAGATAAGATACTTAGTAGTCTAACTGATCCCAAACTTTTGAACGTTAGTGTACATCCAATTCGCAGGAATGGATTATATCAAACACTGAGCCACCTTACTCTTCAGTATAAGCATCGACGTGACTGGCCACAAAATTTCTGTATTTAAAAGAAATTAGTGTATGAACAGTGCGTGCGATTGATACTGTTGAATCAGGAAGAGACAAACAAAAAAGTTATCGGCCAAAGATATAAATCCTCCTGAGCTGCCTTCAAATGGTGTGATACAATTTAAGATACCTACGTATTGAGCGAGAGACTGAGAGAGACAAAGGCAGGTCTGGTGTTCCCAGCAGCGAGCTGTGTCAGTCTGTCTATGTGGTTAGCTCAAGTACTACTACGCTCATTAATTAGCTCCTTAGGGAGGCTGGCTGGCTAACGGGAATGGGGGAGGAGGTGAGAGGCGGGATGTAGGGGGCTTCTGGGGGTTGATTGAGGGGGAGAGGGGAGGAGGAGAGACACGGACCCATTATCTGACTTGTCTGCGGTTGAGGGTGCCTGGCATGAGGTGACGCGCACGCGGCCGCAAACGCTTTACTACATGTACGGTCAGACTCACAGTGATGAGTCTACAGCGGCAGTCGTTCCCTTACTCGCTAGACAGTTACGTCTGTCTATCAGGCTCAGCCTCATCGTTAAAGCTGGCGGACGGGGTTTCCACTCAAATACTCCTGTGTATTTGTGTTTTCAAAACTTCAGTGTTTGAAACTACAGAAGTTGAGTTGTTGGCTCAGAGTGTGTGTGTGTGTGTGTCTATGTGGTCATGTGTTTACCTTAGACAGATCTCTGTAGTTACTGGGCAGGGTGAGATCAAGATCTTCACTGTCGTAGTTGGTGATTACCCAGGGGAACACAGGATACTGGTTCAAATCATTAAATGTACGGCCTGAAACACAAGTGTCAAAACACATTTCCTTGAGTCTTTGTTACCTTTGTCATGACCATGATTTCACATCATCATGTCCCTTAAATGAGTAGTTCACTTTAAAAAAAAAAAAAAAAAAACTTTTGCTAATAATTTACTCACCTCCATGTCATTCAAGATGTTCATGTCTTTCTTTCTTCAGTCGAAAAGAAATTAAGGTTTTTGATGAAAACATTGCTGGATTTTTCTCCATATAATGCATTTTACTGGCCACCAAACAGTTCAAGGTCCAAAATACAGTTTTAGTGCAAACTGCAAACTGTTGAAAGGGCTTTAAATGATTCTAGATGATGAATAAGGGTCTTATCAAGCGAAACGATCATTCATTTAAAAAAAAAAATAACAAAGTTTAAGTTTTTATAAGGTCAAATTCTCGCCTTGTTTCTGTTCTGTGATCCACGTTTGTGACTTTCCTGTTCGAACTCGTTCATCAAAATGAACGAATCTTTTTCCGAGTCAATTCGTTAATTTCAATCGTTGAATGAACCAAATGACTCGAAAAAAGCTTCGTTCATTTTGATGATAGAGTTCGAACAGGAAAGTCACGAACGCGCATCACAGAACAGAGCAAGGCGAGGATTTGAGCTTATAAAACTTAAACTTTGTTATTTTTTTAACATCGAGCGATCGTTTCACTTGATAAGACCATTATTCAACGTCTGGAATCGTTTAAAGCCCTTCGAACAGTTTGCACTGAAACTGTCTTTTGGACCTTGAACCTTGGTGCCCAGTAAAATGCATTATATGGAGAAAAATCCTGGAGTGTTTTCATCAAAAACCTTAATTTATTTTCGACTGAACAAAGAATGATATGGATATCTTGGATGACATGGGGGTGAGTAAATTATCAGCATTTTTTTTTTTTAAAGTGAACTACTCCTTTAATTACAGCCCTTTAAATAGAGTCACACTAAATTATTATGTGAAGTTGTAAATGCTACAAAAATGATTGTAGATTTTACAAGAAAAAAACTATTTAAAATTTTCTACTTTGAAAATTTCACATTTACTTTGATGTGTTACTTGCTGTTACTTTGTAATTGTCAATTATAATTAATTTACTAGCAATTTTTAAATTAGAAAATAGTTTCTACACCCATTATTTGTCAGTCTACAGGGTGCAGTTAACATCTATTAGTTTTAGTTTTAGAGACGGGCCTTTAGTATTTGTCCAAATTCCTTTCCAGTCTATTAGTTGTCTAACTCTATGTCCTAAAGACATGACAATATACCATTGGCTTTGGTCCAATGAGGTTTCAGTGTGGGTGAGACTATGTGGCCCAACACAGCAAAACAGAAACTCAGATTAACATGGAACAGTTAACTTTTGTTGCTTGTTGTGTCATATGGAGATGTTATTCATTCATTAGTACATTAGCTGAGTTAATGTTTGGAGAATGTCTGGTGATGGTGAGCATTCAGGTATCATTGATTTTTACCTGAAATGGTGTTGAGGAACATGAGGTACTCAAAGTTGGAGATCTCTCGTCTTTGCCAACGCTGGGTCATGTTGGCGGCCTTGTAGAGCTGTTTCGGGCTGGCCAGAGAAATCCGTCTATCAGAGAAAGAAAAAACATATTCAAAAATTCAAAGACAAACCTGAAACGTGCACGTCTTTGCCAATCAGTTGATTTGCAATATACCATTTAATGACATTAAAATACATTTTAAAATATATTTAAAAAAAAAAATCAAAATAAAGTATTTGTTATCAGTAAACATAAATTCAGTAAATGAAAATATTTATTTTAACAATTTGATGGAAATATAGTAAGAGAACCTCAAACTGATCTAGTAATCTGTTGACTAATTTCTTTATCACTAGGACAGAGAAAAGTCTCTTGTTTCAGCATCTATCCACTTTGACGATTAGGATTTTTGATGCGATTGGCTTAAACATTTTTCACAATGTAACCTTGTTCGTGCTCAAACACTTCTCAAATCCTATGGCTATGTTCCCACAATACATCAATTCGGGACTTTTCACACAACCTCTAAAATAGAAAAAAAAAATACCTTGAAATATATGGGAAATTGCTTTCATACAACATTAGCATAAATAATAGACACAATATGATTTAATATTTTGCTCCAATGAAAATACTTACCACGATAAGCCAAAATTCAAATTCTAGAGGACTAATACAAACAGTGAAACATTCCAGTACTGTTATATGATATATCGCTATGCCAATCAAAATCAATACAAAAAAACTCTTCTAGAATACAGAATATCCTACATCCAAATATGAACAGACACACAATGGCATCATGGGTAATGTGGGAACCTGTTAAATGAACATGCACAGTGCAAGCAAATATGTGGACACTAAAATAAATGACTCTCCATCCAATTAAAACAAAGCGAAATTAGAGAATTCATCACTGTCACCCAGCGTGATTACAGTCATTAGGCCTCTCTGAAGTTTCCACTGCCCTTTGCCCCTCCTAACACAGAGGCAACGCTGTAACACCGCAAAGTATATGTGACACAAGAAGGGTATAAGTGAATTCATGGTGGGAGAGGGCGGTTTGTATTGGTAAATAGCCACACAAAAACCTCTGACCAGGTCAGAGACACCGAGAGCCATGTGAGGAATCAATATGTACTATATTATGTTACCCATTATGTTACCCTATACTTATGTAGTTTCAGTGAATGTTACTAAGAACCCTGATTTAGAAAGGTATTGTTATGGAATTTCACTTGTCTAAATCAACTTTTCTTTGGCTGAAATACAACTGCGTGTGTGTGTTTCCTGTGTTCCCAGTCTGCCCTGCAGGCTCTGCACTGGCCCCTGTATTTATTTCTCAGTTGGGGAGATAAATAAATGATGTGAATTGTGTTTGTGTGAAGGTAATTAGGCAGTGTTACAGCCACCCCCACACCATACACACATTAACACACACAAACAAGCAGTGTTAGGCCAGAAACATGCTAAAGTCCGCAAATGCTTGGCCAACAGATTGCAAGTGCGAACTGAGCGACCATGAGCAAAGATGTCAGAAAGTAGGGCTGTGTGGTAATTCAAAATTTATGATAAAATCAGGAAAGTGTGAGCACACGCGATTCTGAAACTGCAGAAAACAGGATTTTTCCCACAAGCACTATGCAAGATGAATAGAGTGCGTTTAGCGTTATGAGTTCGAAGAAAACACAGAAACAGGGAAGGTGAATTCAAGGAAGGATAACGACTTGGACTTCGGAATTTTGGATACAAGAGAGAAGATGTATAATGGAGCCAGGTAATTTGCAAGGCCTGTTAAAACTATTGCTGTGGCAAAACAGAGTAAATGATATTCATATAGAATGCGTTTTTGCAGTTAAAAAATAAGAGGCGCAGGTTGAACGCCATGTCAAAAGACGCAAGCGCACCGGTTAAAGACGTCCGTCTAGCGCATGTTTACACACACATTCTAAACCAGTTGAACAAAAATGTGCCATAATACAGGCATTTGCAAACTGCACAAGATATGAAGAGAGTTCAAAATGGCATTAAGAAATAACTGATGTCGTCATACAGTATATTATTTATGCAAAGACATGGTGCACACCTGAAGTCTCATCAATAAAGCCATCTTCAAAATAAAATTATACATACCAGTATGTAAGGGAATATTGGGTCCCACTTTATATTAAGTGGCTTTAATTACTATGTACTTCCATCGATAAATAAGCACAATGTACTCATTTTGCTCAGGTTGTATTGTAAAACACTTTTGCTGCCACTGAGATGTGATACAGGTACGGTTAGGGTCAGGTGTGTGCGGTATGGGTCGGTTTAAGAATGAGTTAAGGTGTAAAGGACGGGTCAACTGTGTAATTACAAAACATAATAACATAAATTAATTACAGCTGTAATAACATGCAGGTATTTTTAAAATATAAGTACAATGTAAAAGCATGTACGTACACAATAACTCCATTGCATCAAATTAATAATTTCAATGCAAGTACATAGTACTTAAAGCCACTTAAGATAAAGTGGGACCGAATATTGTTTCAAAATCGTGTTTCAATATTGATCAAAACATTGTGATGGTATTTTTTTGTCCAAATCACATACTGTACTTCCGGGAGGTCCCACACAAGTTGTGCAAGTGTCAGTGAGATGAACGTGAATGGATAGCTTTCTACAGGTATTTTAAAGAGCTGAAATGCAGAACATACCTGGTTTGAGGAAGGCCAAAATTCGTGCCGACTCCAACTCTGGGGAGACAGTGCACCACCTTTTTCACTGTAGCCGCATCTGGGAAGTTGAACATGATCCCCGCTGTAGGGAGGAGTGAGAATTTAACACACTTCATTCACTGTGTGTAAATAAATAATAGAATTTCTGTTGAACTGTTTTAAAGGAGTCATGTTAAAAACTCAAATGTGTAAAATATTTTTAAAATGAAATAATTAAATGCATAATTTTTTTTATTGCCTGGCTGTCAAACAATTAATCTCGATTAATCGCATCCAAAATAAAAGTTTGTGTTTAATATGTGGGTGCACTGTGTATAATTATTTTGTATATATATATATATATATATATATATATATGAAGAGTTCAGATGCAAAAGCCTCTAAATGCCATTTGAAATTTTCTTCTTTAATGATGATTTTTATCAAACTTGTATATTTAAGTTCAGTGATTTCACTTAAATGGCAATGATAATTACCTATTAATTGTTATTTAAGTGAAATTACTGAACTTAAATATACAAGTTTGATAAAAATCATCATTAAAGAAGAAAATTTCAAATGGCATTTAGAGGCTTTTGCATCTGAACTCTTCATATATATATAAATACACACACATGCATGTATATTTAAGAAAAAAATATTTCTATATAAAATATTTATATTTATATATAATATAAATTATATATAAATCTATATACAGTATATACATGAAAATATTTCTTAAATATACAAGCATGTGTGTGCATTTTTATATATAAAATAATTATACACAGTGCACCCGCATATATTATGTAAACACAAACTTTTATTTTGGATGCGATTAATCGCGATTAATCCTTTGACAGCCCTAATACTGTATATATGCAGTATATATATATATATATATATATATATATATATGCAGTATATATATATATATACTATATATATATATATACGTACATGTATATACATGTATATATATATATATATATATATATATATATATATATATATATATATATGTGTGTGTGTATATATATATATATATATATATATATATAATTTGTTTTATGGAACTCTGGAGTTTTAAAACACGTTTTCTACGATCTCCTCAAAAAAATACATTTTCCAGAACAGCTTACTCCTGTTGGCCATGAAGACTTCCAGCGCTGTGTTCTGTAGCAAATAGCGGCGAGAGAAAATCGCTCTGATCTCTGTGAACTGCCATTTCCCATGCAAACCCTCTGTGTAGGCTAAAATCTGTCCAGGAGACACAAACAAAGACAACTGATCAGATAAATCTAAAAAATAAATGGAATATGAGTGAGAAAACAGCAGGGCAGAGGGAAGGTTTTAGTTCATTTATCACCCACAGCTCATGCTCAGGGTTGCAGCGCAGGATTAATGTGTATTATTGATCAGTCCTCATGAAAAAGAGATGCTTTAAGCGCTAAAATGAGCCCCATTCAGACACGCACTAAAGGGGAGCAGGAAGGCCACAGTTCACTAAAAGGTAATCAGTACCAAGAGAACTGGAAATCTATCAGTATTTGCCCTTCAAGTTGGTGTGAGCGAGGAATGGTTTTATCATGCGTTGCTGCTGCACAATCATCATACTTCATTGTTCAGAAAATGCAAGAAATGTTAAAAACAATTCTTCAAGAAATGTCGAAAAAAAAAATATTATCGTTAATTATACATTTCTACATATAAATTGCACATTTATTTGTATAATACACAAACTCATACATTTTTTCAGAAAAGGGACAGACAATACACTTGTTTTTGCTGACGTCACATTTTACAATATGTTTCTGCAGATTTGTTTCTGGTTCTTGATGGACGCAACCAAATTAGGCTTCCAACTATCTCAGATAGCCCTGATCCAGGTTATTTGAGAGACGACCGAGACGACTGTAGTATAATTTTGCATTCACAGATGCTCAGCTACAGTATATCAAACACTAGTCTTATCTTAAGACTCTACTCATTTCTAACTTAGCTTTATTACATATTGGTTGTTAGGACAGAAAGAGGAGAAAGAGACCACCACACCTGATCTGTGGGGCTCTGATTAGGGCGGATAAACAGCTGAGTTTATCAGGCATTCAGATCTTCCAGTAGCAAGGCTAACACTGATATGCACTCATTAATGAGAGAAAGGGAAGAGGATGGAAGAAGAGAGAAAGAGGGGGCAGCAGCTGTGCTGTGTGCTGAGAGCAATGTCACTGCTCCTGTCTGCTCTGCAGACTCACTTCAAAGTCTCCGGAGTTCAATTAAATGTGGATTAAGGTTGTTCCACCGCCCCGGTAACGCTGCCGTTCGCCACCGCAAACTCCCTGACAAGCGGCATGTGAGACGGCCATGCTCTCCTATTTATCTTCTTCATCTCCCCTCTGTCAGGCGGTTGGTATGGAAACCGCACCATTAATGTGATATCTGATGCGCTACCTAACCAAGGTATCATGGAGAAGTTTGAGCATGGAGGAGTTTATTACAGCAGAGAGATTACGGACAGGGTCATAAAGATGTAATCCACTTGCACAAGTGTAATCGAGGAACTTCATCTGTCTATTTGTATTGTGTATTAGCAGCAGCTGCGATGGACTGGTAATGAAATTAACCCCATGTAAGGAGTGTTAATGCTGCAAGAGACCCCCAACCACCCGCCCACCACCCACTCAGCACAAAATCATAATATAACACACACTTCACGACCTGATCATTACCTGCCATTCTAAATGGAAGGAGTGAAAAGAGTCAAAGCAAATATTAACTATTAGGGCTGGGTGTCGACCCAAATTTCACAATTCGATTCGATTCCGATTCACAAGCTTGCAATTCGATTCGATTCAATTTTGATTATTTTGGATATCAGTTACAATAAATGGCAAATTTTCTCAAGGAAATCAAATCTCTTAACTAATGCTGTGAACTATGGGAATCTAGTTGTAGCCTACTAGGCTTCATTAGCCTAATTACACTTTTACTTATTTTTATAATAATAAAATAATGTGAAATATAAACATTTAAATGGTGGCTGTCATAAAAACTTGCCAGATTTATTCAAATATGGATTAAATATTGAAGAAAATTAAGATTATAATGCATATGTAATATGGTGTATATATTTAGCAAAATGCTCCTCTCTAGAGTTATTTTTTTCTAGCTGACGAGTTGATGTGGGTTTTCTGAGGTAAATATGACGATAAATGACATTGATTACAAGCTGTTGACGTCTTTCCACGGTTGAAACGCTTGTTTGAGCGAATCAATGTGACATGATACGGATTTCGATAAGTTGTACTCTATCTTTTAACACACTTTCAGATGCTCATTCATGTTTATTTCGCGCTTTGATTGGTATTATTAAGCCGGAAGAGAGATCAGCGCTGCTGCTTCTCTTGAGCTGCGCCAGAGCGATCTCACGCCATAGCGCCAAAATGTTATTTATGTTTTTGAATTTCTAAAGAAAATGGACGTAATTTGAAATTTGAGACTTTGTTTCATATCAATAGTAAGAAAGGACGAAGATTATAAAATTTTTTTTTTGGATGCGCGCAGCCGCGATACAATGATCCATTCGTTCAAATGAAACAGGATGACTAATCGATTCTTATCGATATCGGTTCGTAAAAATGAGAATCGATTAATATCGAGAAATCTATATTTATTACCCAGCCCTATTAACTATTAAGCATGGGTATAAAGTGCTAGTTTAGAGGCCCAAGTCAAAAGAGAAAAGAACCCACCTTCAAGTAGGGATATGGACCAGTAATCAAATTCTAGCCAATACAACTGATAAATATTCAGAGAATTCGGAAAAATAGTATCACAGTTTCCACAAAATTCGGTTTCCACGGATTACCAAATCAGCGTTGTGATGCTTAAATTAATTAAGGATAGTGTACTTAAAAGGTTAAATCTTTGCCATAGTCTTGTGCTATTGCAAGTATATGTCAGTTAGATAATCTCGGTAATCAAAAATGCGCAAATAGGCAAAATGAGTTCATAAAAAAACATTATTTCTGCATCACTGAAAACATCAGATTGTATATACAAGAAAAAAAAAGTAGCTCATCACTAATTATTTTCAGATGAAAGTCACTTGAAAAGGGCATCTGGAGATGAACATCAGGCCATAAAATCTTGCTGACTAAAAAGACGACCTTTAACCTGTGCTTCATTCCATCTCTATACCAGAAGAACTTCAATAGTTCACACTTTATCTTACTCCTGTCTACTCAGACCCAAAGGAATAAAGCAATGATTCAGTACCTCGGCTTGACATGCTGTAGACTGATATGACGGTCTGTTGTGCGTCTAATATCATATTTCGTCTTCATGTACCTTGTACCTCATGTGCTAGCCTTGTAATTAACTCTCTCAGTATTCTTGATTGTTGCTCAAAAAAAGTTGTACACTTTATTCGACTATTCCTTTGAGTCGAGAGTTCAAGAGATTTCTACGATGCATGCGCGAGAACTGCGTTCTTATTCCACTACGTCTTGTTCAGTTCTCGCGCATGTGTCGTGGAAATCTCTTGAACTCTCGTCTCAGGCCCACAAGGAAGAAAAGGAATAGTCGAATAAAGTCGTTATTTTCCGCACAAAAAGTAATTCTCGACGCTTGATAAACTTATACTTGAGCCGCTGTAGTCACATGGAATATTTAAACATTTTCTTCAATGACTTTCTGGGCCATCAAGTTTCAATCCCTTAGGGTGCCTATGTGGTAGTGATTTACCTCTCAAATTTTATCAAAAATATCTTAATTTGTGTTCCGAAGACAAATGAAGGTCTTAAGGGGTTGGTACAGAATGGGGGTGAGTAATTAATGACTTAATTTTGGGTGAACTTCACTCTGTAAAGTGTACTCCAGCACATCCCAAAGACTCTCAATAGAGTTATGGCCTCTGTGATGGCCAAATCACGTGTGAAAATGATTCCTCATGCTCCCTGTGAAAACCACTTTCACAATTTGAGCCCGTTGATTCTTGGCATTGTCTTCCTGGAATATGGCAAGGGGATACATCTTCCAAATGGTTGTTTAAGAAATGAAAAGCTGCATTTTAGGGTTAAAAGAATGGTTGCCAAACATTTAGCATACAAGAAAAATATTTTGTCACTTCAATAATGATCCAATGCAAAAAGTGGCTTTTTGGTCATTTAGACGTTTAAAGCCACTTCTCTACAGATATAAATTGTTTATTCCATTTTGTCTATACTTGTGTTCTCCCATCCATGTCAAAAGACAAAAAATTGTTTTAATTTCAAGGCCATGATACTGACGCCAAACGGACAACAAAAGGTTGAAGTCGAAATGGGAATGTGTGTGTCATTTCAAACCGCTCAACCTGTTAGGATCAAGAGGCAGCAAGTCATTTCTGAGTGCTGTCATTTGTCTCTGTCAGCCGCTGAAACGAGTCTGAGATGAAGAGGGACACATCTCTCAAACAGACATTCTGCCCTCTGCCAAAGGACCCTGTGCGTGCAAACGACATCCTCCAAGCGACACACACCAGGGACCAGCGCTCGAGAGCATGTGCTCCGTCTCTGACAGAATTGAATGAAATCTAATTGAAAATACCCCCCCACCCCACGCCAAAAAAAGATGGGGAGGGGGGAGGAAGCGGGAGAGAAAAAAAGCAAAGATAGCAAGTGTGAGACAGAGAGCGAGTGAACTATCCAGCGCTCTCTCAGAAAGATAAATGAGTCTCTGAATAGCAGTCTCTGTTGGGCAAAGTGTGCACTTGTGTTTGAGCTGTGATAAGGGCGTTCGCAGTGAGGAAAAGGAAACGGCTCTCCTGCCGCTGACAGAATCCCCATCCTCACTTATAAAATGTGTAATAAACGAGCATTATAACGCTCAATTTGAAGCTTGGCATTCGATGGCATTCAATTACACGTGTGTGAGAGAGTGCACTCGTACTCTAAGATGTTGGTTTTTAATGTGCCTATGCATCTGCAGAGCAAAATGAGGGGATTGAAGTTCAATTTGTATGCTGTTATTAAGTGTTTCCGCCTGGCTGAGTGTGTTAAAGATTGCGAATGGGACATTTATTATTACCTTTTGGTCAAATGAAGTGGCCTGGGCGATAAGGTGATGAAATTAATGAGGAGGAGGAAGTGGGTGATCCATCAACATCAACATTCAGAGCCGAGTGCACTGGAGATGCAATATTGGAAAACTTGATAGAATTCATGGGAATAAAAGGGAGTAGATATTGGAGAGGGCCTTCTGTTTCTAACACCAACTGG